GGAAGTGTTTTTCCCTGTTTAGTTTCACAGAGGTGCCCAGGAAGGCATGTGCTCTGCACAGCAGTAGCAGTAGAAGGGATGACTTGATTGCTCTGTAACTGATACTGGGAATGAACTCAATTGCTTGGCTTTTTTCTGTCTTGGGTCATATGTTTTCTCTCTCTCTCTCTTAACATGTATTCACCTTTACAGAAATATATAATAGGTATTCTAAAATTAGAGCAAATTTTGATCCAAATGGGGTGCTCTATTTTTGATGTTTTTCTGTGTATACATTTATGAGAGACTTTTGAAACTCTGCAATTCTCCTTATTTTCCTTTCAGATACGGTTGAATCCATGCTCTCGAATTATGACATCCTTTCTCAGTCTAGTATCCAACAGCACTCACTGAAGAAGAGGGACCTGCAGCCTGAGACACATGTAGAGAGACTCCTAAGTTTTTCAGCCCTGCAAAGGTAATTAAATCATCACAAAAAAACAAACAAACAAACCCATGCAGCTTAATATTTTCTTTCATTTTGTGTAATAAATAATGCGCAGTTTCAAAAACAGAAATAGCTGTAGTTGCTGCCATGGTCAGTTCTTACAAGGTAATGGTTTGCATGGTTATTGAACTTCAGAGAGACTGGTGGGGACAGAGCAGGATGCTGAGCCACATTTCTTATTGTTGAAATGGCAGTGATTTAAGATTTCTTTTGCTTTGTTATTTTCTTTGTTCTCATGCAGAGTACTTCTGCAAATTGAGTTGAATTTCACTTTTATTTCATCTTGGCTACATCATCTTACTTCTTGACTTCCCTTTGGTTCTTGAAAGTCTGTGCCTTCACTTTGAGGAGCATGTGTGTTGTGTTGTGCTGCCTGAGAGTGTTTCCATCCTGTTCCTATTGAATATAAACTTCCCGTTCTACAAACCTTTTCATTTTAACCAGAAGGATTTTATAAACCTAGAAGGAGATGGAGGGGTAGAAGAAAGCTGGCACAGATATGCCAAGTGCTTCTCTTGAGTGTCAGAAAAATCCCTTGCAGCTTTTATTGTGCTGAAATTGTAAACCTGTGTAAAAAGTTAATAGGATCAAATGTTGGCTGTCCCTATCTTGCACTTTGTGCACTGGCTTCACAGTGAGCTTGTGCTGCAGCAAGGAGTTCACAACAGTGCCAATGGTAACTGCAGGATAACTGCTGGAAGGCACCCCAGACTCTCCCAGGAAGCCCACCCAGACTAAGAGTGTGTGGCTCTCCCTCCAAATTGGTTTCTGCTTGCTTGATGTGATAGCCTTTAGCTTTGTGATACTCCATGGACTGTGGATTTTCTTGCATCAAATTCTACAGAGTTCAGATTTTTTGGGGGTCTTTTGGTTATATTACTTCAGAAAATAAGAACTGTTTATATGTATATTTATATTTTGATTATTACTAGAAATCAGTTTTGACCTTAAATGTTCTATGGGGAACTAACAGTTTACAGTTATGAATTATATAGTAGATATTCTTGTAGCCTGCTTATCAGACCTAATACTTTCTGTCTTTTCTGTGACCTTCATGAAAACTAAAACTGAGATATCTGTCTCTTGTGTGTATAATTTGCTTAAAAATAAATGACAGTGAATTCTTTTACAGGCACTTTAAATTATACTTAACTGCAACTGCTGAACACTTTTCAGAAAAGTTCCAAGCATTAATTGTGGATGGTGAAGGGAAGGAGAAGGAGTATCGTGTTCAATGGCAAGACTTTTTCACTGGACATGTTGTTGGTTAGTATGGACTAGCTTGTACGTGTGTCGGTGCTTAGAAAGCACAGCTTGGCCAAGAGGCTCGGCCAAAGTAAAGGGTATCTTGCAGAAATTTCCATCAAATACATTTAGGAAGAATAAGTAAACTTAATTCTTGCGCCCTTCAGGTTTTGTGTTGTGGTTCTTCAGTGATTATTTTGTTGGTGGAAAGGGTGTCTTGCTCCGTTTCCAGCTGAGCCCTGGTGCCCCACTAACTTTGCTTTCCGCGTTGCCGTGTGGCGCGGGCCGGGGCTCCTGGGGGCAGCCTGGCGCCCTGGCATCGCGGGCCCACTGCGGCCGAGCTGCCCTCGGTGGCAGGAAGATCCGTGTCCTTGTTGCTGAGCCCGGGGGCCATCACACCGCCTTCTGCAGGAGTATTGATCAAATCACTCAAAGTCTTGATTCCTGCGACAGTTGGGAATTTCAGGCAGAGGGAATGGTTCCTGTTGGCTGCTTTTCTTTTTTATTTTGTAATTATTTTTTAATCTGTCAAATAGAGCTCTTTAGAATGAGGAAAGATTTTTGTTTTGAAATATAAATTGTAGAAATGAGTGTTTTTTGCTCGTTATATGAGCAAATACTCAAATTCCTCTTTCTGTAGGAATCTGCAATAGATCCGAATTAAATAATTTTTTTTTTCTGCTTTATGTTAAAGGGGAGCATAACTCCAAGGTCGTGGCACATATTGGGGATGAAGATTTTACCGTAAGAATCAATACTGATGGAGAAGAATACAATATAGAGGTATGTTTTACTGTTAAAAACAAGCCCTTTCCTCCATGGATGTTTTTCTTTCTAGCTAGTCACATTGACACCTCTGTTGTTCAAAGCAGACTTGGTGGTGGTGGTTGCATTGGGGCAAATAGGAAGGAGAGAAATAAGAAACTGACTTTTGCAGGTGTTAAATTTTATTACTGAGAGCTGTTAGATGACATTTGCATGATTTACATAAAGCTGGATGAAAATACATCTCGGAAATGATTTTAGAAACTGAAATGAGTAACATTCACAATTAGTGGCAATCATGTCCACTAGAACAACAAACTCTAGGCTTCAGAGCCAGGGGGAGGGTTGAGTTTTAATGATTTTTAGCTTATCTTGGATTTTTTTTCATTATTAGAGTTTTGTTTGGAGATCTTTCTGTGCTTTCTTGTTCTTGCTTTTGAACATTTTTGTTGCCTGTGCTATTTTAAGCTATTGGTTGCAAAAGAAATATTCCACAAACACAGTGAAAGACTACTCCAAACAAGTTGTTCAGTGCAGTCATTCCCATACGCAAGCTGTGTCAGAATGGGTGAAGTGACAGCTGTGTGGATGTTAACATTGGCCTGAACCCAAGGAAAGTCAACAGGTTTCAACTTCTCAAGTTTAGCCATAGTTCTGTAGCAGGAAACCATGCAATTAGAAGATCAAAACCCCTGCACTGGTCTTGCAGCTGCTTGACTCTGGCTAAGAGCATTTGTGGTCCCAGAGTGAACTCAGCATGTCCTGGCCCGGGGGACAGCCCCTGCCGTGTTGTGTTTGGTAGTGTAAAGCTATATCTGCTATGAGTCTAGTCTAAGGAGCATGTGTCAGTGAAACTGGTGATAAATATGTATTTGCCTGGGCAATCAAGACTCCCGAGCTTGATACTCCTATGGAGGGAGCAGAGAAGCTTGAGATGCCTCAAAAAAACAGAAGAACATTCTCTATGTAAGGCTATAGCCTTATCAGATGGTTGCGGCTGCTTTGTTGAAATAATATTGGCTCTTTTGGTGCATGTGTTGCATGAAGGGTTGACTTCTACAAGATTTTTTGTGGAAGTAGAGTTGTTATTGGATATGTTTCTATGGATAACATGATCACTGCAGTATAATTACGCATAGAACTGTGGACCTTTTACTAGATATATGGCTTTTACTTGTATAATGGTGGCATTCAGGGGTTTCTGACCATGTCTGTCTGTCTTGTGCTGTCAGCCACTCTGGAGATTTATAGATAATGTGCAAGATGAAAGACTACTGGTCTACAGATCTGAAGATATTAAAGATTTCTCACGATTGCAGTCCCCCAAAGTGTGTGGTTATTTAAAGCTGAACGAAGAAGAACTGTTGCCCAAAGGACTGGAAGACAGAAAGCAAAATGAAGGTGAGTGGCCATACCTGGGAGAGCAGAGCCTTGGCAATGAGAGCTGCAGTTCCGTTTGTGTAGGCAACTAAGGTCAGAACCTGACCAGTCATCTCTGCTGCTGCTTCTGGTCTAACCGTGGACTGTTTAAAGTCACTGGTAGTGGTGGAGGAGGAAAGCAAAGGTCCTACTCTTCTGTAATCACTCAAATCCAGCTTGAGCTGTGATAGATTGTGAAAACTGGGTAGGTAAATCTGTTTAACAACCCTGATTTCACTACTGTGCATTCGTAGTACAGGTAAGGTAGAGGACTTTCAGGAAGACAAAAAAAAAAGTTATTCTCCATCCCCCACCCCCCAAAAAAGTTATATTCCTATCTCAAACAGGAATAATATAGACACCCTGGGCAATTTTGATTGCTTTATTTCATTGTGCTTAATTAGCAAGCATCCATCGAGAGAAAAGAGCCGTTTCGGAGAACTCAAAGAACACGTGCAAGATGCTGGTGGTGGCAGATCATCGCTTCTTCAAGTACATGGGCCGTGGGGAAGAGAGCACCACTATAAACTACTTGGTAAGGAAATATACTGTTAGGATTTGCTGGAGTAAATAGGGAAACTAAGAAGTCATCCAGTAGTTATAACACAACTTAAACTCCTGCAACTTTTCTGTACTTCATGGCTGTGTGTGTTTTTTACCTATGGAAGTGGTATATGATGATTTAAACTTCTTTACAGTGGTGATAATACTGTACTTTTAAACAATCTTCAAGTTTTACTTATAAGCAGAACCCCTAATTTCACAGACTGTTTTTGGCCAGTCTCCAAAACTTTCCTTTTTACAGTGAGAGTTTTAGAATCTCCTGATTCTTGACCTTCATGTCCAAGCATGTATGAAGTTGATAGGAGAGGCACAAGCCTCTCTCCACTTCCTCCAGGGACAATAAAATTAGCAAGGAGGGTGATTAGCATTTGGCTTGGCTGTAGGTGAGGCTGTTTCACCTGCCTTTGCTGAGCAGATGTCACTAGGTGGGTTTTTTCTGCTTCACAAAAATGGAGAGCAGGGGGTTTGGAACTGGAGACAAAACCAAATAAAACCACCTTTGGGGGTCTGCTGCTTCTCAAGAGTCTCTCTCCAAGCCCAGATCTTGCAGTGCTGATCGCTCTGTTTACTGATCTGGCCCTTCTGTCCCCAGAACTGTTTGCACTGGGGAGGTGGTCGAGCCTCAGTTGCTGGGTTTGCAGAGATGCTGTTCCCTGGCTGTGTTCCCCGGTCTGTGACCAGGACACTGATAAAGCTCAAGTAAAGCTGTTTCTGAGTGCTTTTGAATGTCTCTCTTCATTGTGAGCAAATTTGATGGCACACATTTAGTTGAAGCTGATTTTTAAGGTGAGAACAACTTGAAAAAGGGGATATTGACTGTGAGTATTGAAGAGAGACTTTCTGGAACATTGTGCTTGAGTGTAATGAGGAAAATAATAGTCTGTTGGCTAGCAGAGGGAAGCCAGTCCCTCAGGTGGCTTCCTCAGGATTCACTTAAACCAGTGAAGCCCAGTACTAGAGCAGAGCAGCAAAAACAGCCCCCTCCTCTGCCCAGCCCTTCAAGAGAAGCTGGGAAAACCAGTACATGGAAAAATGCTTCCCAAGATGCCTTGTTCTTAATATTATCTTTCTTTTACTGTGCAAATCAAGGTGGTAAAGGACGAAGCTTTTAGCATTTGTTTCGTTATTATGGTGGAAAATCTGTGGGGAAACTTAATACTACAGTTCTGAATCCATGCACTGTTTTAGAAACAGTGAATAATAGTCTGATACATTTTATGAGATTCAGTTTTATTTTGAAGTGACTGTTTCTAGATAAGTATTTTGCAGCTTCCCTGAGTGTCTTAATCCTCATTACATGAGAGCTCAAAACTAAATATATTTTTTTCCTACCTAGATCGAGTTGATAGACAGAGTAGATGACATCTACCGAAATACTTCGTGGGACAACGGGGCCTTCAATGGCTATGGCATACAGATAGAGCAGGTATTCCCTGGGCAGTGAGAGCAAGGCCTGGCAAATGCAAAAAGCACACAAGCTTGTCTTGGATATTAGAGTTTCTGAGTATTTTATCTACATTAGAGCTAAAATAATCACATCTTGCATTGATACCTCCAGCCAGAAGTGCTCTGAACTAGAGTCTTTGCAGAGGTGGTGTCAGTGATTTGATGCTGTGGCTGTTTTCAGCTCCTTGCAGCTTTTGGGGGGGATTTGCAGGGAGGTTCTTTCCATATTTAATCTGAATTCAAAGGTACTTTCTTCCCGAATATGAAAAATTCTTGTCTCAGTCAAACATACTCTTACAGAAATATTTGATGTCTACAACTAGTCTATGGCTAGGGCTTATCTTGCAAAGCCTGAATGTGCTTCAGGCACAGAAGAAAAAGCACGAAACCCTCCTGAGGAGCTTTAATCATTAACCTTAGGCATCCTTTGTAGTGCAGCCATCTGGTTCACGGTTGCAGATTGGCTCTTGGAAGCTAGTACACAGAAATCTGGAAAATGGCAGTGAAATCAGTAGGAATCTGGCTGCTCTGTCAAATGGAGTGTGCCTTATGGTACAAGCCAGCCGCCCCTTCCCTAGGAAAGGCTCTAGGGAGGAAATTTAATGAACACTTCTCTCTTGTTTGGCAGGAGGAATGTTAATTTGGGGGCGAAGGAGTTGAATCTAGGCCACTGGGAGGACAGCAGCCCTTTAGAAACCATTTTCGTTAACTGGAGCCCCAAGTTTGGGGTTATTGTAAATCCTAGCTGTATTTGCTTTTTGGGAGAGTTACGTGTCTCAAAGAAGAATGTTACAGTGAAAACTGGTGATACTGCTCTCTAATATAACAGCTGCTTTAGTTGCTTATGGGGTGGTCAGTGATCTTAATTAGTAGCAGCTGAAAACTTTCCCCTGGGAGAAGGCAGAGTCTGAGTTTGCTTCTTGCAGATCTATTGAGATATTTAGGGTTACATTTTAACAGGTGGAAGTTTTTGTAGCTATAAAATTGATCACAATTTCTCTGTGGTGTTCCTGCTGTTCTTTAAATATAGATCATCATCCACAATGAACCAAACGCTGTAAAACCTGGCGATAAGCATTACAACATGGCAAAAAGTCATCCAGATGAGAAGAAAGATGCCTGGGATGTGAAAATGCTGCTAGAGGTAGGCTCTAACCCTCAGCCAGTTGTTCCCTGTGCAGGGAGTTACTCACTTGAAACAGCCATTTGTTAGTAACAGATGAAACTCTGGAACTTCCTCCTCAAGATGTGGAGGAGTTACCCAAGGGAAAACTGCTGATAAGCAGTTCTACAGCCTGTGGTGAGGGGCCTCGCTGTGACTGCAGAGTGCAAACTGACCAGCACTATTAATGTGAGGCTAATGCCAGAAAGACAGGCCTGTAAAAGTGCAAGATCCACAAAGGGGCAAGTTTTGGTCCTGACACTAACTGGTTTGTGACCTTTGTCAAACTATTGCACTTGGTTTCCTCTCCCTGTGGAAAGGGGAAATGAATGAACAGTTACGTAAAAGTGTGCAATGAACTTGAGTATCCATTTGACTTTCTGTAGTTTTGTAGGACATTTACAACTTGCTGAGGTCAAGAAAATGCCTGCCTCATTAGATAAACATCTTTATATTTCTGATATGTACCACAGAGTGCTTTACTAAAGCTTGGGTTTTGCTTTTTTTCTTCTTTAAAGCAATTTAGTTTTGATATCGCTGAGAAAGCAGCTCACGTGTGCCTTGCTCATCTCTTTACCTATCAAGATTTTGATATGGGAACACTTGGATTGGCTTACGTTGGTTCTCCCAGGCCTAACAGCCATGGTGGCATTTGTCCAAAAGGCAAGACTTTTTTTATTATTTAAACTTTTTATAACTTCTGTGGGCCTTGATGTGCCACTTGCGTAGTCTGTAGTGGTAGAATCCCTGAACAGGAGGGATGGCTCTTGGCTGAAGCGAGGGGGAGAAGGTAGAGGGGTAGGAATCATTGGGGTTTCCAAAGCTGTGTGATAGACCAAGGGCTGCTTTCCTCTTGCAGCAATTTTGAAATTGCAGATGCTACTGTCTTGGGTATTTCTTGCATTCCTCCTTCCTGCAATATCTGTGCTGTTTGTGCTGTGCTTCAAGGATCCCCTTGTGCAAGAACTGGGGAAAGGCAAGGTCTCGCCTGTGAGACCTTGTTATTTGTGAGCATTTCCTCAAACATGGATTCCTCCTCTTCCTTCCCCTCCCTCCACCCACGCAAATCCCCTGAGAAGAATGTTTTACAATTTGACTTGTTTCTCTCTTATTTCTACAGCTTATTACAGTCAAATTGCCAAGAAGGACATCTATCTGAACAGTGGCTTAACCAGCACCAAGAACTATGGGAAAACTATCCTCACAAAGGTAGGAGGTTGCCCTTATGCACAGAGGGGGAGAAGGGTATATGGAAAGTGTCCGGAGGAGGTACTTCCTTGTCAGTGCAGTGTTTCCTTGGAGTAAGAGACATTCCCAGTGTCTTTCTGAAACAAGCCGCTGGGTCTGAGATTGAATCAAAATCCTGGGGAGAAGGATTCAGGTGCCAGAAATCTTCATTTTTGTCCCTGCTGGCAGGGGGAGTCAGGACTGAAGGGGACTGAAGACTGAATGCACCAGGCCCAGCAATGAGGACTGCTCTGGTGGGAGCAGTCGTCATCCAAATGTGAGCAGGAGTTTGAAAGCCAAAGATAATTCAAATGCATTTTGCTTTGCGGCAAAGAGAAAACTCTAGTGAGCCACACAATACAGCAAGTAGACTTGCAGTAAGAATAAAGTTAGTCTGCTGACTGAAGCAAGAAAGACTTTCTTTTTTTTTTAACACTATTATGTACATCTGCAACATGCACATTTAAGACATTTCCCAGCTGTGTTTTCTACCTGCAGAGCAAAGTGGGAGGTTTAGTTCGGGTCTTTTAACAAAATTCCTTTCTTTTTCCTGAATATAGGAAAGAGAACAATTCAGGGGAGACAGCTAGTTAGTGCTATTACTAACCTTAATGTAAATTGATGCTGTCTAGATTTTTTTCATAGTGGGTGAGACAGTAAGCACCTGAAGGCCTGAAAGTGAATTTTGCCCAACTGGTAAGGACAGCACAGAGCCTGTGTTTGCCACTACCAGGCCTTTGTGGTTGAACATATTTTGCTGATTTCTCAGCTGTGCTTTGCCTGATTGTAAAGAGATTCATAATTGGTGTGTGGGCTAAAACTTGGCACAGAAGCTGTCAAGAAGCTGGAAAAAGACACTGAACCTTTGTGCTGGAGAGATGTTGACGAACACTCTGGCTGTTGCCATGCCCTTGGTGCTGGCTATTCGACTCCCAGGCTGGAGCTCACTCTTGGATTGAGTTTCTGCTTTGCAAAACGATGCTGCAAATCCATCCCTGTTGGGCTGTGGTTGTGGGTGGTTTTCCTAGCACTCTTGCAATAGGAAAGCTAATTCAGAGCTGTGAATGTCATCATCTGCTTGGGAGAAATAGTTCCAGTGCAAGATGAGTTTAAACAAGAGATTGGCTAACCATAGTAGGTATTGTTTGTTTGGGTTGTTTTTTGCTTGGGCATTTCAATGCCTTCCAGCTATTGAGAATTTAAGTTTAACACTTTCAGTATCTGCACTACATTGAAATCAAAACTGAGTGAATTCTAGGGCAACGTTTTGCCTCTAGTAGTGAGATTAACATTAAAACCTAGTCCTAGAATTCACCTTTGGAAATTCACTGTACTTTGCTCTTCAGTTCTCTGTTTTTCAGTGGGTAAAACTGATTTCCAGCTAAATGTACTTGGAAATGCAAGTGACCTGGAAGGGTTTGGGATCATCTCTCCTGTCCTGTTCAGACTATTTTTTAGCAGCATTTTTTCTTTTTCTTGTCTAAAACAGGAGGCCGACCTGGTTACAACTCACGAGCTTGGACACAACTTTGGAGCAGAGCACGATCCTGACAGCCTGCCAGAGTGTGCCCCGACCGAAGACCAGGGAGGAAAATACGTGATGTATCCGATCGCTGTGAGCGGAGACCACGAAAACAACAAGGTATCGTAGCTGGGTGGTCTGCTCGGGGTCTGAGTCCCTGCTGCGGGCAGTGACCCTCTGCACTGAGAACGTAGTTAATGATTCCTATAGCTTAAACAGTGAGAATTTAATGGCATCTCTGTGAGAGGCAAACAGGCTTGCGTGCGGCTGTTCTCTGCCAGAAAAGCTCCTCTTTGGTTGCTGAGCTGGCACTGTGCCTGTTGGCAGATGAGGAGCTGGGATTATGGAGGCCGTGATTAGCCCGGCTGGTTAGGGCAGCTCCCTGCTCCAGCTGGATGCGGCTCTGCAGCCCTGAGCCCCACGCTGCTAGGGGGACTTTGTAGACCCAGCCTATGCATCCCTGTCTAAATCCTCCCAATTTATTAGGATCTCAGCATAGAGAGAATATCCATTTCCTAGGACACTGGAAATTGGAGGTCTGAAAACACCGACTCTCTCTGATCAATTTGTTGCATTCCTCAGTGCTGCTCTTTCCCCTCCTGGCTCTCTAGATGTTCTCAAGCTGCAGCAAAAAATCCATCCATAGGACCCTAGATTTTTTCAAGGAGCGCAACAACAAGGTGTGTGGGAACTCCCGGGTGGACGAAGGGGAGGAATGCGACCCCGGCCTCCTGTACCAGCAGGCCGATCCCTGCTGCTCCGCGGACTGCAAACTCCGGGATGGCGCCAAGTGCAGGTAAGGGGGGAGGAGCTGCCGTGGTGGAGATGGGACATGTGGCTGGGCTCAGAGGTGAGACAGGCAGCTGCCATGTCCCAGGCTGCTTTCCTGGCTCCGAGGCTAGGCAGGTGAAGGGTCTTGTCCTGGATTGGGTCTGTGGTCAGCAGGTCAGCAAAAGGGAGGTGGGAAGAGGATGCAAGTGCTGCGAGTGAATCACAGAATCCCAGAGTGGTTGAGGTTGGAAGGGGCCTCTGGAGATCATCTAGTGCGGGTCCCTGTGTTGGGTTTTCTATGAACTTCCCTCCTGGGGCGAGCGAAGAGTGAGTGTGTAGGAGGCTGGTGCTGGGAGGACAGAGGAGGTGGTTTTGAGTGAGTGAATCAGTCCCTTAAAAGTAGCTCTATTTCTGAACACCCTCTCCCTGGTTCTGTCATGTTCGTACTCTCTTTAAAAGGACTCAATATTTCTTCCTGTCATTCTGATCTTTCCACAGTGATCGAAACAGCCCTTGCTGCAAAGGCTGCCAGTTTGAAAGTGCACAGAAAAAATGCCAAGAAGCCATAAATGCAACTTGTAAAGGAGAGTCTTTTTGCACTGGTAAGACATTGTTCTGTCCCCTTTACACCAGCCAGCCAAGTGCTTCAGGCTCAACGTCCTGCTCGATGTCCTGTTTCAAACTAGTGCCCTTTATTCATCCGGTACATCTAATTTTAGAGACCAGTTAAATATCACTGAAGTGCAGTGTAACGACTTTCGTTGTAGTTCAGGAGCCACTTGGTGATTTACAGCCCAGAAAAACATGGAAAAACAAATCTGAAAATGGGGGTTCAACATTGGGAAGGGGGGAATTGGGAAGGACAGGAATGAGCTGCATTTTGCTAGGGACAGGGTAACTCTGCTTCACTTCCCTGCTCATTTGCTTCTTCCCCTGCTCTCAACCCTGTCTCTAGGGAATAGCAGCGAGTGCCCCCCTCCAGGGAACGCTCCGGATGACACGGTGTGCGTGGACATGGGCAAGTGCAAGGATGGGGAGTGTGTCCCTTTCTGCGAGAGGGAGAAGAACCTGCGGTCGTGCGCGTGCAATGGTGAGTGAGAGGGCTGGTGCCTGGCCCTGCTGCCTGCCCTGTCTTAGCTCTTTAGTGCCCTTAAGGCAACTGGGAGCAGAGGAAAACATGGCTGTAAGAGGAGGGTGCCTGAAGGACCTGAAGTTTGATCTTATTTGTTCATGGAAGGAGTTCCTTGCCAGGCATTTTTAGTGTTGGAGACTCCATTCTCCCGTATTCATTTCGGTTCAAGCCAGTTGAGGACTGCAGCATCAATCCAGCTGAGACCGTTCCTGCCTTTTGAGGCTTTTGCAACTTGACTTCACATGTTCCACAGCCCCAAGAGGTTCTGTGCTGCCTCTTGGTGCTTTGCACCTGCCCGGTCTCTGTGCAGCACTGGGGCATCAGCGTGGAAAGAGGAGCTGCTCCTGCTGTGTCCTCCAATTTGCTGCATGGGGCAGGTGGCCGAGTTGCAGACTCAGTGAGCTGAGTGCCCAGAGCTGGGAGACTCGTGTGGCTCTGGGTGGGAGCCCTGCGAGCGGGGCCACGTGGGGCCGCTGCGGGGTGAGGAACGGGCCCCTTCTGTGCTGCAGAGACGGACAACTCGTGCAAGGTGTGCTGCCGGGACGAGCACGAGCGCTGCGTGCCCTACATCGACGCCAACCAGCAGTTCCTGTTCCTGCGCAAGGGCAAGCCCTGCACCGTGGGCTTCTGCGACAGCAACGTAAGTGCTCCTGGGCGCTTCTCCTAGTCTGGCTGCTGGGGTATTTAGCCTCCTTGGTGGCTAATTCCTCCCTGGGGAGGAGTAGCCCCAGGCACCGGTACAGATTAGGGGTTGACCTGCTGGAAGGCAGCTCTGCAGAGAGGGATTTGGGAATCCTGGTTGACAAGAAGTTAACCATGAGTCAGCAATGTGCCTTCCTGGCCAAGAAGGCCAATGGGATCCTGGCCTGCATCAGGAGGAGCATTGCCAGCAGGTCGAGGGAAGGGATCCTGCCCCTCTACTCAGCTGTGGTGAGGCTGCACCTGGAGTATTGTGTGCAGTTCTGGGCTCCCCGGTACAAGAAGGACATTGAGTTTCTAGAGAGGGTCCAGCCTAGGGCCACAAAGATGATTAAGGAACTGGAGCATCTGTTGTACGAGGAAAGACTAAGCGAGCTGGGCCTGATCAGCCTGGAGAAGAGAAGATTGAGAGGAGATCTGATCCAATATGTACCTGAGGGGAGAATGTAAAGAAGATGGGGCTAAACTTGGTGGTGGCCAGTGACAGGACAAGGGATAATGGGTATAAGTTGAAACATAGGAAGTTCCACCTCCATGTGAGGAAGAACTTCTTTCCACTCAGGGTGACAGAGCCCTGGCACAGGCTGCCCTGAGAGGTTGTGGAGTCTCCTTCTCTGGAGATCTTCAAACCCGCCTGGATGCCACCCTGTGCCACATGCTCTAGGTATCCCTGCTGGAGCAGGGGGGTTGGACTAGATGATCTCTAGATGTCCCTTCCAACCTTAACCATCCTGTGATGAAAATTAAGGCTTCCTGAGCCTTTCTGGAAGAGGTCTGTGTATCCCATTGAAATTTTTCAAGAGTTTCAAATGTTAAAGCTACCTCTGTTTCAGAAAACCATTTGCCACATAAAGGAGGAAAAAAAGGTTAAAACTACTATAGTGTAACGCTGCTTTGCTAATGTGTATTTACTTTTGCAGGGCAAATGTGAGAAGCAAGTACAGGATGTGATTGAACGATTTTGGGATTTCATAGACCAACTTAGCATCAACACTTTTGGTAAGATAGATAACTGCATCCTTTGATGTTTAGTCCCAGATATGAGTATTTTTAAAAGCCTAGGAGGAAGTAGCTGACTGTTTTTGCTCACCTGTAGATAAGGGCAGTTAGTAGCTCTGGTTCTGACACTTTTGCATGAGGTCCAGCAGAACTCTTCCCAAATAATCCTTCAGCTTTGAGGCAGCATCAGTAATTTTGCATGTTACCTCTCCTTTATTTTTAGCCACATTTCAGGCTTGTAAAGGAGATGGTTTTTATTCTAGAAGGCTTCTGACTACCGAAAAAGCAGCTACTTGGAGAAAAGGCATTAACGGTCGCTGGAAACGTCAGCTTGTAGACCTTTCAGTGGGGTTTAAATGTCATCAGGAAATGAAAGCTTCATTTCGTTCTTATTTAACAAAACCACGGAGATGATCCAGCCCCGGCTGTGGGACTGAGTCACTGGCCAGTTAATGTAAACATGGTCTTTCGGTCTTGGTCTCCCCAGCGCAGGCTGAGCCTGGAGCTGCTTCAGAAAACTATTTCAGTGTAAGAAGTGTTAACAGGTGGGTGCTTTTGTAATGATAGGGTAACAAGGAGTAGATGTACAAATGCACAAAGTAATGACGTGAGTTTGGGGCTTTGACTAAGGTCAACAAGATTATTTCTGAGGTAGTTATTAACGCTCTTCATCTCTTGCTGTTTGAAAGTAGACATGATGTGTGTGGAGGCACATAGTTGTCACGTACTTGTGAAATCAGAACGTTAAGAGATTCCGTGTGGTTTCTGTAAGTGGAAGAGGTAGCTGGGCTCACTAAACATAGCCTGTCTCAAAGCCACTAATATGAAACGCTGTGGCTCATCAGGGAGAGCAGAGGAGGGACCTGTTACTTGTAGTGTGTCTGGTAACGTTTTGTAAATGGATCGCTCGTGTTGGCCTCGTCCTGAGCCAGTGCCTGTCTGAGCAATTCTCTGGCTGGGTCTGCGGGAGCCGTGGCAGCAGAGCAGGGATTTGTATCCAGGATTTGCTAAATGACTAATTGTTTTGGTTTCTCAGGAAAGTTCCTGGCGGACAATATAGTGGGCTCGGTGCTCGTCTTCTCCTTGCTCTTCTGGATTCCTCTCAGCATCCTCGTGCACTGTGTGGTGAGTTAGGTCCCCTGCCATGACTGCTCAGTGGTGACAGCAGCATGGGGTGGGTGCAAAGAGGGTCCCTGTGCTCAGGAGCACTCGCAGGATGGATGGGAATGCATGGGGTGAAGGTAAAGGGAAAAGTGCCCAACTCCTTGCGGTGTCCCCTGGGGACGGGCACCGTGCGGGTGGTTGGGGAGCTGATGCTGTGTTGTGTTTGGGGGCGTTCTCTGGCTTTACACATGTTGGTTTTCCTGAATAGGACAAGAAGCTGGACAAGCAGTACGAGGAGAACAACAAGTCTCTGTTTTGCCCCAGTGTAAGTTGCTCTCTGAACAGAGACCGGCAGGACGCTACATGGCGCGTGTCAAAGCCTGAACCCGCGGTGTTTGCAGAGTGTTCAGCAAAGGCGTGTAGGGGAAGCAGTGTGAGGGAAGTGGTGTCGTTTGGAACAAGCTGGTGTGTGATGTGTCGCACAGTGCGGCTCCGCGGGTCTGGCTGTTCCTTCCCCTGTGGGCAGAGTTGTCACTTGGGGGAGTGGAGCTCCAGTGGCCCCATGTGCTGAGGCCTTATTGCTGCTCCTGGGATCCCCAGGGTGTGAGGAGCTGTCACAGGGTGACGCTTCTCTCTCTGTAGGCGCTGGTTTGGGGGAGGGCATGATAAGAGAATGGCCGAGATAAATAATCATGGCCCAACCGAAGGCACTCCTGGCAGGTTTTTGGGTACCTGTCCAGTGATTCAAAAGCCCAATTTTCACAATGAAAGTGAAATGTTCTTATAAGGAGATGTCCGTTTGGGTCAGAAGGGAAAGGAGGCCTTGCATAGCTCTTGCCCTGCCACTGGGGAAAGCTTGCTGGAGTTGTCAGACCTCTGAGACCCATGTCTTTGTGGCCTGCTCTGAGGTAGCTGCAGGGATCTTGGCTTGAGCCCCTTCCTGAGTCTGGAATCAGATGCTTAGAGGTGCTCAGATCTCACCTTAGCTCTTTAGATTTGAATTGTCTTCAAGAAACATCCCAGAAGCAGGTACAGCAGAAGAGCCCAAGTGTAACTGGCTGCTTGCGCCAGCAACACTTCAACAAGCGGGAACTTTGGAAAATCCCATGGATTGGGTGGTGGGGAAGTGCAGCACTGGTGATAGCGCGGGAGCTCCAGCTGTGCCTTCCGAGTGCTCGCCTTGTTTGCTGCCCTTGCCCTGCCCGCTGTGTCTTGCAGAACGTGGAGATGCTCAGCAGCCTGGACTCGGCCTCCGTGCGCATCGTGAAGCCCTTCCCCACGGCGCAGCCCTCGAGCCGCCACCAGCCGCTGCAGCCCGTGGTGGCAGCGCCGGCCGCGGCGGCGGCGCCCAAGCAGGACCACCAGCGGATGGACACGATTCAGGAGGACCCCAGCACCGACTCCCATGTCGACGAGGACACCTTCGAGAAGGACCCGTTCCCAAACAGCAGCTCGGCTGCCAAATCCTTTGAGGACTTGACAGACCATCCCGTCACCCGGAGCGAGAAAGCTTCGTCCTTCAAACTGCAGCGCCAGAGCCGGGTGGACAGCAAGGAGACAGAGTGCTAGGGCCTTGCTAAGGGTAGGACTGGTGGGTGCAAAACAAGTTCATTTGGATCTGAAACCATTTCATTTATATAAATATAAATATATGTATATATATTTTTGTGAGGGAGTGGGAGAAATAAGGAAGTGACCTACTGCAGATGCTGGTCATGTGTATGACCTTCCTTAAATTACATTTAGAGCATTATATCTTTTAAAAACAAAAATCCAAACTAAAGCGAGCTTGTTTTTTGAAGCTTTTTGGATTTGTTTTTTTCTATCTTCTTGACCTTTAACATTTCCTTCAACCTGTGGTACAAAATGGAATATCCGTGTGGATACCGAATGTGTATATCAGCCTTTTTTATAACTTAATGTTTTGTAGTCTGACAGCACTGATAGACAAAATTATGGTCTTTTTAACCAAAATGAAACACTGCAGTAGAGTAGGTCATTTAGCAGTTCAAGGTACATGTAAGCAAAGATCTAAACGTTACCGATGTATTGCGAACAAAGTGAGATTAATGAAACGGGTTAAAAAAATAGCATATAATGAAGATGTATAATTGGAATCAAGGGGTTTAAGATACGCAGCTTCTAAAATGAGGAGTTGCAGAGAGGCTGTAAAGCCAAGCGATGTTTGCCAATGTTAAATATAATTTTTAAGAGGGCAAACGTAATGTTGGGGTGCTCAAAGAGCAGAGCCTCAGTTTGCAGGGGCTCTGTGACCTTTGGAAGCTCCTGCTGCATTTAATTGAGAAAAAAATATCGTGCTCCATGCCAGGGGGTTGTTTGTTATTTGAAACAATGATAAATTGAATTCAAAAAGAAATACATCTTTGCTAAGCTTTGAGGGCAAGTACTAAGGAGGATGCTTCTTGGATTCCAGTTTCTGCACATTTAAGACAGTATGATGTTAAAAGTTCGTAGCCTTAGCAGTGTCCTCCAGTTGATACGTGTGCATGTGAAGGTGGAGCTCTTCACAGAGCAAGATCCCTTGGCTGGGAAGGGAGGTGGAAGGAGTTTCAGCCTGGCAGCAGAGGAACTGACACTGCAGCTGCAGAGCAGCAGCTCTGCTGCCAAGGACTGACCGTCGCTCTGCATCCCTCTTCCCCTTATCTTGGATTAACAAAACTGACAAAGTTTCCAACAGCAGCAGAACCACTTTACCTTTTAGAAATGGGTCTGCGCTCAGTCTCCAGGGTCCCCCAGTTTCCAGGAATAGGGATCGATGGAAAACCACGGTGTTTAAGTGTGAGAGTAAGCAAACCGGGGACATGAGACACCTTGTGCGAGAACCTCTGTCTCCCCTCAAGGATATTTGTTACACTAATACTTGAACGTGTGCCTTACGGTATTCCTAGCTGACTAGCTATTGTATTTTATATACTGGTTTTGGTTTGTTTGGGTCTTGTGTTTTGTTCTGTTTTTTTGATTCAGTGAAAAGTAAATGTGTGAGAGGAGTTAATTTAATTCCCAATACAATAAAAGCTTTTTATAAAAAAAAAAAGTGACTTTAAATTAAACAAGAACTGTTTCTGTGCAGCTCTTTCAAAAGAGATCTAAATACTTCTTTTTGTATTTTCTATGCATATTGCAGCTGCTTTGTAACTTGTGGTGTTAAAGTATCTCATGGTTTTAGGTGCTTTAAGGCCCCTGCCAAAGGGGTGGTGGTTGTGACTGCAGTTCTTAAGGGAAAGTCAGTGCCTTGCTGGTAGCAAATCTAGAATGACCTTAATATCGATAACATGCACTTCCCACATTAAAATTGGCAATTCGTGCTTATTTGGGAGCGTGAAAACACAGGTTTGGGGCACAGATCCATCCTCTAGGCTGCTCTCTATTCCAGAAAGTGCCACACAGCCACTTGCAAAGTTTGCTCTTAAGCACCCAAAGCAGAAGCTCTGCAGCTCCCAGGGGCTGCCTCTGTCACTGCTGCTCTTTGCTAAGTTGTTACAGGAAGGCCACTCCAGTTTAGTATTTCTAAACAAAGCAACCTGCCCTCTGGCTCTAGCTGAACATGGTGAATAACTAGTTACTGTCCCATTTAGAGCAGTGTGGAGGGGGGGTCATGGGCTAATTTGTCTTACTTCTTTCATAAAGCAAAGGCTGTTGCTGTCCTGGTGTTGTACAAAGCAGGAAATCTTGATGATCTTGCATCACTCTCCATTTTATCCAATATGGGTTAACACATCCCTGACTTGAATAGGATGTCACTTAAGATTTTTTTTATGTCATTTTTAATTCATTTACCAATAGTAGATTCCTTCCTTCTGCTAGTGGGCTGCCTTGCTGCTGTGCTTGTTGAGCTGCCTCCTTCCTTTTTGCTCTTTGTTAACATAGTTTTATAGTTGAACTGCATTCTCTTGGCTGAAACTTAGAGCAGCCTCTGTTAACCAATGGATGAATATATGGGTTAAGTAGGTGGGAGAGAAAGGTTGCAGCAGTGATGCAGCCCCCTTTGCTGGGAGCAGGAGCATCATGATCTCCTGTGTGCTGGGAAGGCCAGGGGGCTATGCAGATGCACATGGAGCTATAAACAAGAGCCAGGCACAGAGGCAGAAGGTGCTGCTGCTGCACATGTATGTTTAATTTAAGGACCCCTGCTCAAAATTACAATATAGCACTATGCAAATCCTCACAAAAGTTCAAATAATTGCTTTGAGTGGTTGTCTAACAGAATCAAAAAAACTGGACGGACATTACTTGAACTTGATACTGCTACTACTTCCACCTCTAAGACCTGCAGAGACTCTCTCTCTTCCAAGTCTTCTAAGGAACATGGAGTTGATCACCAGCCACGTTCAACTGTGACAAGAGAAATCACTTTACGGAAGCTCTCTGAGATGCCTTGATGTTCATTTTCTCCCAGACGAAGCAGGAGGGCGTGCGGAGCTGTGGCAGGGGCCGCAGCGCGGGGCTCGCGCTGCCCTGCGTTCTGCGCCGGGTCACGGAGGGGCCTCTCCCAGCAGGCTGACCTCGGGCGTCGCAGCGTCCACGTCGCGCCAGTACGGCAGCAGCAACGGAAGAGAAGACACTTTGTTTTCCAGGCATTCCCAAAGTTGAGCTGCTAGAAAGTTATTTCCTTCTGGTGATAAATGAAGCCCATCAGATAAGTAGCAGGAGAAATCCTAGAGGAGAGGTTAGAACATGCATGAATCTACTTGCCATTTATAAACACAAGGACCTGACTAATTTTTAGACTTTTCAACACTAACGGCTAAAGATATTAATTTTTGCCCTTTTGATTAAAATTTTAAAGAATGTTCCAATGCCCAAAGTAACTACTACTCATTCCAAAACTACTCCATGCTGATGTGGTACAATCACAATACTGAGTTTACAACAAAGATTCACAGTGCCCTAACTGGAGTTACTTGTTTAAGGGCAAGGTGTGAAATCTTTGTCAAATAGAAGATTGTGGATGTTCAGTCAAAAGCATAAGAAAAACATCCTGATCTGGCCCGGAAGGGAGGCCAGCTCTGTGCAGGAGGTGGCACTGGATGCCTCCAATGGCTCCTTCCAACCTGAACTCTTCCCCAGTTCAAAGTCCAAGCAAAAGGCTACTCGCATGGAGTACTGCAAGGAGACATTTCCTAACTAAATTTAATGGTCAGGTTGTATTAAGATATTTTTTCCCATGTGTCATATGAAATATTCTGGATTTTTTTCCCTTTCCCAAATGGTTATTTGGATATATTTTGTATTGGTTTAGTGGGAATGCAGTACTACCAGTCCCTCCATACTAAATCAGGCATTTGGCAGTTCCAAAGTGTCTCTCAGGACATCGTACCTGATCTTTTTGCATCAGTGTCCACAGGTCCACAACTCCAGTGCCACAGTCCCTGGCTACTTGAACACAGGCCTTGGCATAGTCCCCGGTGGTGGAATTGCGGCGATTTAGTTTGTCACCTAAGAGACACACCCCCCCCACACAAAAAAACATTTTAGGATCAAGACAGGATTGATTCCGTTTTCTGGGGTACACATGATGCTTTGCAACTTGTTAAACCAAACAGCCCTAGCAATTGCAACCCAAGTCTTAACATCTCCGTTAAGAAGTGGCTGGAGTTACAGCTCTCGTTCAAGGTACAAGATATGGTTCATCAAGATGGTTCATGGTTCATCAGATGAGATATTTGGAGACAACAGCAAGAACAACACAGGGCAATGCAGATTTCTGTGCTGCTTGGCCTTCTGTTAAGCTTTAGGTAATGTCTTTATAAACCTACTTCTGCCACGTAGAAAAGAATTAAGTAAAACTATGTTAATTTCACAGCCTTGCCTTCTACCTTCTGAACGACATCAGCCATTTGACAGCTCTTTGCATTAGTTCCCATTAAAATGCTGATGACAGCAGCAGTCCATGGTACAACAGGTACAAAGCATTGCTAGAAATGCAGGATGCAGCAGCTGGCAGCTCAGTTATCCTGGCAGCTGAGCATTCAGCAGGTGCTCAGCACTAGTGTAAATCATCTCTTTTGCACGGAGTGCAGTGAAACACTGGGGCAGAATATTATTACGCTATGATTTTTAATTGTTTTTTTTTTAGTGGAACCTACAAGTCATCAATTCCTACTGCGCTCTTTCCTTAGGAACACCAGTACAGCTGATGATTCACCCTGATGATTCTCACTTCTTCACACTGCCACTTTTCCCTCCCAGCAGCAGTCTTCTCACCATCAAAATATTCTCTATAGCCTTGCTGAGCCTTCCTGTCCCATTCCCCACTGTGGGATGTTTCCAGTTCCATTTATTCCTCAGTAGATTGCGAGGCCCTTTGGTCCATTAAACACCACCAAGCAGGGCACCATCTGCTAAAAAGAAAGACCACCCCCCCTCTAACTAACTATTCTCTCGTTACCTTTTCTTTATTTGTTAGGCTTGTTCCTTTCCTAGTCCATTCTGGAAGCTCTTAGTTAGCAGTGCTGGCTCTACAAGCTAAGACCAGAGACAAATAGGAGCTTCTCAGCCCAAGAACACACTCTGCCTGCTAAAGGTCCAAAACGGGAACATTTTTCTGGTAAGAGGGACATGGAGAATTTAAAACAATCACTGAGTATTTCTTTTATTATTATTATTAAAAAAAAACAAAAAAAAAACACAAATTGAGGTATTTATTTCATATTCAGGGCTTCCTTGGCTTGTTTTGAAACAGCAGAATGCATTTCCTCACCTTGATTAGACTTTTCCACTCGCCCTTCTTTTACACTGCTGCAAACACTGCCCTAGCATTTAGCCTCCCCGGCTCTTCACAACATCTGCTCCAAACCTTCCTCGACCATCAGTGCTGCTGAAGCTCCCATTCTGCAGTGATCCATTCCTCTGACCTTGACAAGCACAAACTTGCCTAGTTCTCAACTGCACAACCTGTCCACAACCACTGCCAGTGGGGCCCAACTTTCCTTATTGTCAGACAACGTATGGAGGGGGTAACAGCCGTAAGTTGCTGCTGGGGAGGTTCAGAGCAGAGCTTAGGACACTTCCCACCCTACTAAGGGAGTAGGGGCAGCGCTCAAACAGCCTCCCACACAGGAGCGGGATGGCCGCCCTTGGAGGTTTTTCAAGCTTCAGCTGGATAAAGCCATGACCAACTTAATTTAGCCCAGCTTTGAGTGGTAGGCAACACTGGAGACTTCCAACTAGCTAAGATTTTGCTCCAGCCACCATCATTCCCTACTGAGACCCTGACTTTCCTCCAGCTGGCACACAGGCCTGGCTGAATCTTCAGTCAAGAAGATTTAACCAGTCTCCCTTCACACCTGTGAACATCGGCAGCTTCGAGTTTCACATCCCTCCTTTGCTCTGGCATCTATCTGGCAAAACCAAAAATAAACAGAAAACTTTTCCTTACTACTGTTTGGCACCTGATGCTCTGCCAGATCATTCAGAGTTCCAAATTAAGCAGTGAAAGCCATCGAATGGCTAGTGACTAGAATGGAAGGTGCCACTGCAGGGAGCTGCCCTCAGTAATAAGCAGAATCCCTTTTAACGCATTTTAAACATGTGGTCATGTACGGAATGTTCTTGCTTTGACTGAATATACAGGACATGCACTAAAATAGAGAAAACCTTGCAAATACTAAAGTATTTATTAAAAATCTAACTCAAAAATCTTCTGTAGATGTGCAAGAACTGAACAAACTGTTCGAACGGAGAAGAGGACACACTCTCAGGTGTAAACTGTCACTGCTGGAGCCCAGGAGATTAAAGCGATTTCCACCTGCTAAGCAACACAAAGTAAGCACTGTTGTTAAGGCTCTATCACAAACAGTTAGTCTGAACAGTAGTAGTGACCTTAGAATCCAGAGACTTGGATTCTCCTCTGTGGGTTTTAATTTACAACAAAAGCAGGTAGGATATTACTGCTTATGCAAGCAGATGTGAAATAGTCTGTAAATATTAGAAAGTTTTCTAAGAAGACACACAGTAAGAAAAACTCTTCCATGCTACTTCGGAAGCTGCCAGGACATGATGTATTCTGCTCAGGACATCTAGATTCCTTTCCAAGAGCTCTGATTTTACTTCCACGACACCACTTTTTGAGATACACTGTCTGTTCTCGGCAGAGAGCTGCTTCTATCAATCAATCAGATTTATGCAGAAACAGAGCAACCAACATCCCGTTTCCAAAAGGATATTATTAACTAATTGCAGGTTACTCCTCGAGCAGATCTGAAAGATGTTTTGCAGAGCAGCTAGCAGTCATTTCCTATCAACTTGGAGAACACAAATACAACCTGGCACAAACACAGAACTAGTCATTTATCAGTCTAAGAGCAAAAACTTACACTCTCTGGGGGAAAAAAAAAAGAAATTTTGTTAGTGTTATCATTCTTTTACCTTTGGCAAGACATTCCTTCTCCCAAGCTGACTCCTGAAGAGGAGGGGGTGTTATCAAAATAATCCTGTCTTCAGTAATGTCTACTGATTTCAGATACTGCACCATGCTCTTCAAGTTTGCAGCATATTCCTCCAAGGGAATGTGTTGCTTGGGATTCAGATCTGTTAGGGATTAGGCCAGATGTATTATTCCCATAAAACCATGCTGCTCACAGAGTTATTACATAACAACTAAGATGATTTTTACACAGGATACAAATGTGGACACTCTTCTTACTACTTATTCTCAGTATTAAACTGTTCACCTCAACCATAAATTGAGGAGGTGTCATAGGAAAAGGCAGCACCTCAACAACCAAAGCAGAAAAACAGGGCTTAAAACAGCTCTTGCAACTAATTCAAATGACGCAGAGGGGGGAAAAAGCCACCTTTCGGAAAATAATAAAAAAGCTTTTCTTTAGAACTCCACATTTTGTCATTAAAATGCGTAATAATTTCAAACTTTACCTGAAACAAAAGCAAAAACTTTTAACTCTCTTGGACAGAGAGCAAATGTTGAAAATCCAGACAGACTCTACAAAGAATCAGTCCTCTGGGCACTAATCTCATCATTTTGATTAAATAGCTCTGCTTGGCAGGTGCAGATCTTTAAGAGAATCCAAATGCTACATTCCCTCATTTCTTGATCTATCCATCAGGCTATTTCAAAGGCAGAAAGGCAGCCAGACACCCAACTCTAATTTTAAGTGTTGGATATCTGACTAATTCTTCGGATCCTTGACATTTCTATTGACCATTAAAACTTGCTCAGAGAGAGAGAAGGTGGCAGTGCATGATTCTAAAAATAAAACCACAATAATGGAAGAGTTAGCTGTATAAATGGGGAAAAAAAAAAAAAAGAAGAGCCAAGAACCAGTCCAAGCAACATTCTATCCTTTCTGATATAAAACTTTCTTAGGAGGATAGATGATGGGGAAAAAAAAAAAAAGTGTACCTTTCAAAGCACTGTCATTAGCTCCAAAGAAAATAGTAACTGCAACAGTGCTGTCTGCACTGGCACTTTTACCGATCAGTCTTGGAAGGATCACTTTAGCCCATCTTGTATTGTACCCTGAGAATCCACGATTTACAACATCACATTTTCTGAAACACATATCAAAAAGAAAATCTCTCCCCATCAGAACAAAGTTTTAGGCACGGGAATCATTCAGTCAGAACCCCTGCCTTTGTCCCTCTCAGCATCAATGAGATTTCATGAGTGAATCCCCTGGGACCATAATTTTATGTTTTGAAAGTGTAAGCATGGAGAAACATTAACATATCAGACTATGAAATCAGAACGAATATTTGATAATCAAGGAATTTTTCTTTCTACTCAAGCTTTGCAGCAATCTCTAGTAAATATTTCCCCCTACCAGGGGGACACTGTTTAGGCAGTCCATGCCAATAAACAAGCGAATATTTTAGTAATGTTAATAAATAAATCAACAGAACTTATTTCTGCCAGTTTTCTTCAACTTCAAGAAAGCTACACGGGCTTCTTTCATACCAGAAGATATTTTTTGAGCTCTTACCTGACCAGCCTCTTGGCGAGCGCGGCTCCCCAGCCCTTGTCCTGGAAGCAGTGCTGCGTGCAAGGAACACAGTGAGCCCCTCACCGGAGCAGGGACTCGCTCCTGGCGCCCACCCCGATTCCTTTTGGCTTTTGTTTTCCGACACTTTCCCTGCTCAAGAGCAGCCTGCGAGCCAGGCCCCCCGCACTTCCCTGCAGCGCTTCCTCGCCTGCAGGCTCCCTGCGGGATCGGGCACTCCAGGCCTTTTCTTCTTTTTTTTTTTTTTCCCCCCCTGTTCTTTTCTAAAACCTTTTTGCTGCAACTTTATTCTGGAGAGCAGCTCTCAATAACCCTCTCTCAACAGGCTATGTTAGAGTGCAGCTTGACAATTTACCTGGTTTAGTCTGCTTATTCCCACTGCTATCCATCCCATCCTTTCAGATATGATGGGTCACCTGTCTTTGGAACTGCACACTGAGGTGACTTAGATAACTGATTTTCCTTTGAAATATTTTTTCCTACTTAAATCATTTTTTTTCTGAGAGCAGCTCTGTGATCCAGCTCATTGTGCAGATGTTGCTGTGCAACAAAAAGCAAACAGGGACTGAAAACGAACACCAGAGACTGCTTAAGCTGGTACCATCATGGAGGGAAACGTCCATCAAGCCAGGCTCTGGTCACGTCAATGCAGAAAGTATCTGGGGGCTGAGGGGACCACCCTGCAGGGAGCTGCAAGGAGCAGGATATGGAGGTGCAGCACATGAGAGAAGGCTGCAGAGTCAGGAAAGGGGTGGTCAGTGTGGAAAACAGATGAGCCAGGAGATTTGCTATCCTGTATGGCAGCTTTTCCCTAGAGTCCTGGATGGACAGAACTGTCCATGACTGCCCAGACACAGCCAGACAACAGGGCCCCAGTATGCAGGGATTTACAGAGCAACAGGACACCCCATGTTGGCTCCCAACCCACCTCTCCTGCACTTGGGCCACCAGGTGAGCTGACATTGGTGCTGGGCAGCCCCGTGCTCCCATGTTGGGCACTCATCACTTCTCCTTCAAAGGCAAAGCAGCCTCGCGCTCGGCAGCAGGTGCTCGGTCTAACACCAAACCTCAGCGAACATTAACCCAGCGCCCACCGAAAACGAGGCCAAAGGCAACGTCCACCGGCTCTGAGGACGGATGAAACCTCTCTGGCACAGTCAAAGCCAACAGCAATTTTTAGGGAGCCTCGGGGCTCTATACTGAGCTTTCTAAACGCCTTGTTCTCCCGGGAAGCAGCGCCCGTTGCCCGGTAACGGCCCCGGAGCGGTCACGGCCACGCGCGATAACGGCCCC